CTTTGCTTATCTTATTCGCTCAGAAACCCAGGCTTCATTTCAATGCATGGATCCATCATTCCTGGGGTAGGGGAAGGGGATCATTGAGGAAAGCATCACTCTTAAAATTGCCACCCAGAAGTGACACATAAATTTTCTTAAGATTTCACTGGGTAAAGCAATTCAGATGGCTACGATCCACTCCAAAGAGGGAAAAACAGTAAAATCTTAGCAGGAGCCTGAAAAGAGGAAAATTTGAGATATTACATGAACCACACTGATGACAAACAATTTGTTTTCTAGTTATTTCTAAAAATGGATAGCAGGAAGAAAGTATAACAAAGAGGCAAAAGATCAGTATGCAACAGGAATGCATACAAATAGAAAAAGGTCTCATTAAAATATGGTTTAATGGTCCTAAAAAGTCATTAGAATGAATTGTCAAATAGCACACAGTGAATCAAGTATCTCAGACAAATTCCAGCTTGGTCTTATTTTTGTGTGTGTAAACAGGTACTTTTGTGCCACAATACACTCATCTATTTTTATGTATTCTGCCATTGTTTTGAAAGTTTATTGAACAAGTTGATTTCCATGTTCGAGTGGGACACTGGACATTTTAAAACTGAAAATTTGTGACATCAGAATATTGTTTAGTGTTAATCATTCTGCATTACCTCCGATTTCACATGCTTAATGAAGTTAGAGAGAGAGAGTGAGAGATACAGAGCGACAGAGATCTTCCATCCACTGATTCACTCTCCAAATGGCCACAATGGCCAGTGATGGGCAAGGTAGAAACCAGGAGCCCAGAACTCTATCTGGATCTCCTACATAAATGCAGGGGCCCAAGGATATGGGCTATTTCCCACTATATTCTCAGGTGCATTAGCAGGGAGCTGGATCAGAAATGGAGCAACTAGGACTCAAATCAGCACCCATATGGGATGACGGCATCAAAGGCAGTAGCTTTACCCATAGAAAGAAAAGTTGATACATTGACCCTCATCAAGCTCAAAAACTTTTCTTTTGTAAAATCCCATAGGAACAGAATGAAAAGACAAACTACAGACTGTGAGAAAAAAATTGAGTAGATACACAGATGTCAAATGAATACATGAAATGATAGTTTTTGGTATTTGTGAAATGCAAATATAAACCACAATGAGTTATCAATATACACCTGTTACAATGGCTAAAATAATAACAAAAATATTGGCCAGGATACAGACAAGCTAGAAATTCCTTTATTGCTGGGTAGGAATATAAAATAGCATGCTTGCTCTAAAAATTGAGGTAGTCCTTACTAAACTAACATGTCCTTGCCATGCAATCTAGAATTGCATTGTTAGCCAGTTATCCCAGAGAAGGAAAAATTTATGCTTATGCAAAAACCTGTAGAGAAATGTTCATAGTGCCCTTATTTATGATAACCCAGAGATGGGATTAAACCTTCAATAGACGAATCATTACACAAGTTGTGATACAGCGACACCATGAAATACTACTCAACAATAAACAGAAGTAAACTGTTGATGAAAGAAACAGCTTGAATAGCTCTCTGGAGCAGCATGTTGGGGTGGAAAGCCAATCTCCTAAGGCTATGTACTGTGATTCCGTGTAACAAATTTACAGAACAAAATCATTCAGAAAAAGAATTGGTTAGTGGTTGCTAGGGAATAGGGAAAAGGGAAAGGAACAAGTTGGATCTCACTACCACAGAGTAAAACAGGAAATGATTGTGGTATTGACATTGCTCTATATCTTGATTGTAGTGGTAATCACATGAACCTGCACTTTTGACAAAATTGTGTAAAACTAGACATATGAGCAAACGAGTGTATGCAAAACTAATGAAATCAAAATGAGGTAAATAGATTGCAGCATCAATTTCCTGGCTGTGATAGTGTGCTGTGGTTAAGTATGATATCATTACGGGGAAAAAATAGGTGAAGGGTAGTCAGTATTCGTACTTATTAAATTATTAATTATCCGAATCATAAAAGTAATGTAAATGTTTAATATTTTTATTATACTATAGCTAAATATATAACAAATAAAATAGAATTTATTATTTGCTATGATGAATTAAATTATTATCTTTGTACATTAAAAGTACATATGGATTTATAGTTATCCCAAAGAGGTTTAAAATGTGATATATGGGAGCCAGTGTTATGGTACAATGGGTTAAAGTGTCACCTGCGATGGTGGCATCATTTGGGTACCACTTTGAGTCCGAAGTGTTTCATTTCTAATCCAGCTCTTCACTAATTTACCTGGGAAAACAGTAGAAGATGTTTTGGAGCCCTGAATCCACATCAGAGATCCCAGTGAAGCTCCTGGTTCCTGGCTTCAACCTGGCTGTCCCAGCCATTTGGGGAATCAACCTTTGAATGCAAGATTCTCCCTCTCTCTTTCTCCCCTTGTCGCTCTGATTCTCTCCCGCCTCTCTCTATATAAAGTGATATATTCATTATTTATGATCTGATCTCCAGTTAATTAAGAAAACAAGCCATGAGGATAATCATAAGTTCAGTTATTACAAGACTTAGTCTGGGTTAGAACTCATTCAAATTGGAGTTTCCAATTCAGAAACCAAGGCAAGGACCACTAACACTCTGTTGAAGAACCTTTCCAATCCTAGCAGCTCAGTACATGGTTGCCTGCAACTGTTAGAAATACTCTGAGAAGCTCAGTAGAATAAATTCTATTGAAAAACTGGCAGTAACAACTTATTTTGAACCATTAGAGTTGAGAATGGATTTCTTATGTGGTAATCAGAGTATTACATTCAGTGAAAGAAGTAGCTCTTGCTGCCAAATACATGAGCTGTCATAACTCAGTAAGTCTATACATTTTAAATGCTAAAATCCATATTTGCCTTGGGTTATTTATTTATTTGTTTTAATTTAAAAGGAGGGAGAGAGAGAGAGAGAGAGAGAGAGAGAGAGAGAGAGAGAGAGAGAGAGAGAGAATCTGCATACACAGATTCACTTTTCAAATGTCCAAAACAATCAGGGCTGGGCTAGGCTGAAGATAGAAGTTGGGGACTCAAACCCGATCCCCAAACAGGTGGCAGGGACCCAAGCACTTGAATCATTATCTGCTGTACCCCAGGGTGCACATTAGCAGGAACCTGGAAATAGAAGTAGAGCCATAACACAAATCTAAGCACTCTAAAATGGGATGCAGCCATCTCAAGTATTGTGCCAAATGCCTGCCCCTGGCCCCTGATTATTTCTTGAAACCCTGTTCCATGAATTCTCTGTGAGCAAGTTGAAAGTGATTATGTCCTTTGTGGAATGCACACATAGAGGATATTGAATGACCAATCATTGCCCTTGAAGACCCTACCCTCTAATGAGACAAAACATCAGCACAGTAAATGGCACAAGAACAGTTGTAAGGGAACAAATCAGCCAGTTTCAACTCATACACCAGCACAAATTGAATGCATGTGGCAACGTATGGATACTCAAGTAGCAGGATGGAGCTAGACACTTTGGGCCCTGAAGGCACCATTTCCAAAAAGGGCCCCATTTTCCTTTGTTAATAGTGAAATAAACATTTCCAGCAATGCCAGGGCTAGTTGGATGCTATTTAGACTTCCAAAGAAAGAAAAAGAAGATAATTTCCAAGGAAGATTATTATTGGTTTATTTTTCTCTCTTCCTGATAACTGATTGATTGATTGATTGATTTGCCATTGATTTCTTCAGCTATAGACTGTGAATAACCAAACGAGATTAGTTGGTGGAAGTTGGGAAATCTGAACTGGAAGCTCAAATCGTATATACTTATCAGCTGAGTGAGTTTGGGTACATCACCCACCCTCACTTGCTTTTCTCATGAGAAACCACCAGATTGAGCCAAGCAGTTCACAAGATGCCCCCTAACTCACACTCACATCATTCGGTTTGTAGTGAGATTGAAACATGGTTCTGATATCATGGGTATGACAGTATTTGGAAACCAGAAACTGCTTGCTGTGTGACTGTTAGGAATACCAACGTTATCCAGTTCATGTAGAAAAAAAAAAAAATCCTGCGACTCTCCCCTAACTCTGTGACTTAAAATACACTTGGGTACTGTCAGGAGTGCTTTCGTAGATTCTGAAAATTCTTTAACTATGGCTCATGGAATAAGCCTAGGTGGAATCAATCCGTCTCAGATTCCCCAGGACACTAGCAGTCCTGCTGAGACTGGAGATCTGGACACAACTGAGAATCTTAGGAACTGCTCAAACTGCGGTGGCTCCTGGGCCCCTGCATGTTTTTTTTTTTTTCTTTTCCCCCAAGGGACTTAACAGCAGATGTCCATTCCATGGGGGTGTGGGAGCCCTCTTTGTGGGAGAAAGCCGAGTTTTAATGGGCCTGCCAACCCCACTCCACCCCATCCTGACGTCAAAGCATTGTCACTTTACTTGCCACATAGTGAATCTGGGGAATGGCCGGAAATCAGCAGCAGTGTTCGAGGCCATAAATTGCTAGACCAGCTCCTGGTGCGTCCTGAGCACTAGATTTGGATCGGGCCAGGTGCAGGGAAAAGGCCCCTGTGCCAGAGAGGACGCGTGGGCTTCCTGGCCAGGGAGTCAGCATGGAGCCCAGTTCTAGGCACACGTGCGAGGGGTGGAAGAGCTCCCAGGGGCTTCCAGGGCAGACAGGGGAGGAGGGGCGGGAGGAGCTGTGCGGCCCCTTTAAGACCCCAGCGCTCGCCTACCAAAGGAGGGCGGGGGGCGCTGCGTGATGGGAAAGTCGCCGGCTGAGCCTAACACTTTCTCCCGGTGTTTTAACTTTCGGGACCAGGGAGCAGGAATAAAGCTGCGACATCAGCACAGAAAAGCCTAGCGTGCTTGCAGCTGCTGCGTGCTAACATACTTCCCGCCAGCGCCCAGCGGCCGGCCCGGGGGCCAAGTGGAGAGCGGGCGGGCAGGTGGCCCCGGGCCGCCTTACCCGCGCCTTGGCTCTGCCCCCGGGGGCCGAGCGAGCCGCGGCTCCCTCGTGGTGTGTGAGGGCGGTGATGTTTTTCCTCCCACCCACTTCTGAGTCCCCCCTCCCCCCTCGCGCGCACTCCAGCTCTCGCCACAACCTGCGAGCCCCAGATCTCGGAGGAGCGTCCCGGAGAGCTCAGAGCGTGTGCACGCGTGACAGACGGAGGAGGCCAGTGCCCAGGTCAGTGAGCAGTGCCCGGAGCCCGCTTCTCCTGCCTCCCCTCCCAGCCTTCGCACAGGTGGGGTGCTTTGCTGTTGGTTGGAGCTGCCCCCTGGAAGTTTTCCCAGCGCCCCTTGTGCTCCCAGACCTGCCATCCCAACGCGGTGTAAGGTCCAGCTGCCAGCGGCTAGGATGGAGTTGGGGGCACAGGGTGCCTGAGTTTAGTAGCTCCGGGTGGGGGCTGTGACTTCGAACTCGCCACTCGCCACTCCCTGCTCAGGCCTACATTTCGCTAAGCCCTGGTGCTTCCAAGGGCCACTGTGTACTTCCAGCAGAGACTCCGCCGTTGCCTTAATTACGGGCGTGTGTCCTGAAGCCAGTTTTCTCATTTATGCAAGTGCCCTGGACCAGTGGCTAACGAATACGTGCATCAGGGTGGCCAGGCAGAGGGTCACTTCTCCTTTGGATATCTGTCTCACTTTCTCGCACACACCCCTGGGGTCAGAGTTTGACACTACATGGTCTAGCCAGATCACAGGGCCTGGAAAGCTCCCCTCTAATCCGTCCCTGTCATGTACCAACTGAAGTCATGTGTCTCTGGCCCCCCATTCAGTGCCCCGGGCCAATTTTGAAGGTGGAATAGAATAAAATGATAGCTGAGAAGGTGTTTTTCAAGCCAAGTGAAAAGTATGGTCTCTGACAAGGGGCTACCCTGGGCTGAGAAACAGCCATGTTCAGTGGCAACCCACCGCTGTTTTACTTTTTTTTTTTTTTTTTGAGTGGTACGGTGGAGAGAAGATTTCTACAGGTAGACTCAGGCCTGATATGCCAGTGCCTTTCTCATTGTCAGAAAGAAAACTGATACCCTAGGGGCTGTCCTGCAGATGATAGTAAATATGAGGTTACAAGGTCAGTCAAGCTTTGCAGGGGGAATTAGAGACACCGTGGGGTATGAAGAACTGATCATCCTGTGGCTTGCCTTTTGGAGTCGGCTCTGATTTTCTTCCACTCAGGTGACCTGTTCTGAGAGTGGGCTCCTGATACTTGGTGGCCTAGATTACCTTTGACTATGCAGTGGGACAAAGAGCGCTTGTACCCTTTGCTTGATGCAAATAATGTGAATGCCGGTTTCATAGAGATGCTTTAATTCATACCTTGCTTCTGGTATCTGACCTTTTGTTCTTGTTCTCTAGCAAAACACATTTACCTTTGCTTTCCTGTCTCACCCTCACTCTTAGGCTTCCTTGCAGATTAATGTTTTCTTTGTTGCTTCGTGGTTGGGTCCTGGATACTCCCAAAACGTATCAATGACTGCATTTCAAAGGAACCTGTAGAAGAGCCAGTGCAAGTTCCTTAGCACAACAGCCTGTGTAAAGCAGACAGAGAGTTAATGCAGAAATAACTCCAGTTAACTGGGTCAAAGTATAATTTGAAAAATTAAGGACAGTTTGGATCTTGCAAGAATAAGAGTCGGCATGTTTGCTGGGCAATGTTTGCTTGTGTTTACTGCGGTAGTCCCAACAAATGTCTTGAACCACCCTGATTCCCTGAAAGAAAAAGTTACAGGGATCGGGCAGAGTTAAATGGCAGGGGGACTTAGGAAGGGACTTCTTCCGGATTGATATTTCTGTATAGAATGCAAAGGCAGGACTCCAGGGCTGTGTAAAGGAAAGGTGAACATTTATAAAGCCATGTATTTTCTGCTGTTCTCCATCACCACTGGGTAGGCCACATAGATGACCAGAACACCAAAAGAGATTAATTGTGCTCAAGTCAACTTTTTTATTTGAATATAACATGAGTTAGGTCCCAAGAAAAGCAAAGGAATTCTATGAGCTGATTTTTTTTCCAACTTGAGTTTTGAAACAATGCTACTGTTCACCGAATTGCCCTGCTCTTGTACAAGAAAAACAGCTCTGTTGCTTCTTGAATGGGGAAACCCAAAACCCATGGTTTCATTAAAAAAAAGGGGGGGGGGGAAGAAAAGAGAAAGTTTTCCTGAGATCCATATACACGTGTGATGAATTGGATTTTAGCAGTTAAAAATCCTCTTTGGAGCCTTGGGAGATAAGCTTATTAAAGTAGATTCAGGAAGAACCTCACTGTGTTAAATTCTTGATTAAAATGATTAGCTTCAAGGGACCCTGGTAGCTCCCAGGGGACAGAGAGATTCTGTGTGAGTGCAAGTGGACCATAACCTCACAGAAGGCACCCCAGACATCAGCATCCAGGCCCTTGGAAGGTTAGAAACCTGTTTTGTAAAAATTTGATCTTGTATTGAGTTTCGTGTAGGAGTTAGAGGAAGAAGGCAAACACATGCTGTAAATCCTGACAACACAAATTATCCTCTAAGCCCAGTTGTTCCTTGGTACTTTATTCATCATTTGCAATGTAGATTTTGAATGATCCAGAAAACTTAATTACATTTGTAGTAGGAACTGTGGCATCTACTTCAGAGCGCCGATATGTTCATTTCTGCAAAGCGAGCAGCTTGCATCTTTTTGGATTTTTCATGCTCTTTATTCAGGCAGAACTCTAAAATGATCAATGAGTCCAGTTCCTATCCAGGAATAACCCCAGATTGAATGTTTTATCTCTAGAATATTTAAATATTTCCATATCACCCATTGGAAGAGGTTTACAAACTCTGAAATCTATAGAAATGATTTGTGATCGTATTTGAATTGTAGCAAACTTGCCATGTTCTAAGGTTCAAATGGATTAAGATTTCCACCCTTAAACTGGAAATGCCAACCTCATGTTTTAAAGAATTGCAGTTGCTTTGATGATCTTTTCCACAGTGGTGCAAGATGAACAAATTGCCTGTTTAAGTTTACCTAGTTTCTCTTTGAGTGGTCCCACTTGAATTTTCCATTTCTCAGTGGGCTTCATTGGAAACTGGTATGTCTAAATTCTTCTAGCCAAGCAGTAAAACTTTTCAGGTGTTTAATTGCATCCGTTTTTTGAATTACACATATTTTTTTCCAACATACCTAGTCAAACTGAAGATCCATTCAGAGCTCAGAGATATCACTGGAGAAGCATTAATAAATTTGTATTTCATCCCAGAAGGCTTAATGATAGCACTAGTTCTGAAGCTAAGCTTACTTAGCTTTCATTTCAGAACTTACTTAGATGTCATGTCTATTACTTTTTCCTTGTTTGTCAAAAGGCTCCTTTTGCAATCTTTCATTTCTGTTTTCTCCAGAAGAAAATCTCTTCAAAAATCAACTTTAATTCCCATAGAAAGGGGAATTTCAAAATTTGTCTTATTTTCCTTTGACTTGCCTGTAAGGATTTTGCCTCAACGCTGGATAGGAATGCATGTTCATTCACTTGAGTTTTCTCCCACAATATTTGCAAGTCAGGAAAGTCAAGGTTTTATGCAGGCAAGCAATGCTTGCAGGTATGGAAATTCCTTGGCATTGTTTTGCTAGTAAGTTAGAAGCTGAAGCATCAATGAACTTCATCATTGCCAGGGGCTCTAAGTCTTTTTCTCCTGTTTTCTTCCCAACAGCATGAGTCCAGTGGGCCTCGAAGGTTCTGAGCTGCGCTTTTCTGTGGTCCAAATGAGAAAGAAGTGGAAAATGGGAGGCATGAGTTATATCTTTTCCTTGTTGTTGTTCTTTCTTTTCCTAGAAGGAAGCAAAGCAGAACAAGTGAAACGTAAGTGTCTTGAGTTTAAAAATAATACAAGTGCTTATGGTTTCTTTGAAAATGTGGTTATAATCTATAGGAATTATGATTTATCCCAAATGTGGTCATACCATTTTTCTATGAGAACAAAGCAAATGTTGCTGGTTTATGTATGAGTTGATAAAAGCATGAGAAATTTGAATTGGGCCAACCAAATTTAGCACTGGTTTTCTGATTATCATGTAGTTTTCATCTCATAGAACACATGACACATTAGCCTATTTCCCTTTCCTGTTCTAAGCTGTACAAATCTCATTCCATTTTACATAACTCAAGAAATATCTGACAGATGAGCTGGATTTTTTCCCAAACTTCAGACTCTTCAGCAAAGGTTTTCACTTTATGAAAAAGAATAACAGAAAAGAAAAAGAAAAGTGGGAAAAGAGGGAAACAGGCTCCTCCTATTCCCTTATGCTGAAAAACAAAGAAGGAAGAAACCTTCACATGAGCTGGATTCAGATAAAAAAAAAAAAATCCTTTGAGGAAATTGAGATTCCAGAGACTGTTAGCAAATTGGATGCTATTTATTGAAAAGAACGTCCGTGCAAAGCCAGGGGATATTTCTAGAAAGTCAGCGATCCGTGTGATGGGCTAACACTTTGGAGAAAATGGATGGTGGTCAGGGAGTGGGGAATAATCAACCCTCCTTGCCACCACATTCAGGAGCCTTGTGAGTAAGCATTGCCATCTCTGTTCTAGTTAGGAGCTCTCTGCTGCCTTGGACCCATGTGGGCCTTGCCCTCTTCAGGCTACTTGTACACTTGCTCTGAATTTACAGGAAAAGCTGTAGCTCTAGTTCCCATTTTTGGCTGCATCAAAAGAAGCACAAAGTGGAATGGGTCCAAGAGGAGCATTCTCTGCTCCACTGAACTTATTCATGAGAAGGAGCTGTGAAAATATTCTTGGTAGGAGCCGAAGCAGCATCTGAAGTCCATCACTTAAACATTTATCTCCTTTATCAGCATAAGTTAACTGTATTTGGCAGAAGGCTTGCTGACAAGCAAAACACTGCCAAGCCTATTGCATTGTTAAGTATGTGTTTGTCCCCCTACAATTTTCATAGCAAAGTTACTCTTCTTCCTGGGAGAATATAGTGCCTTTGATTAGGCTTTTAAGCATGAGTGATCTGTGGTGATATCTAATGTGATTGGAACACAAAAGGAAGTTGAGCAGGGTATGATTTTAGCAAGGGAGCGTGAATCAGTCTCCCCGTCTTCTCTGACTCCTTCCTTTTCCTTTCACTTGAATTTGAGGATTCATGTAGTCAATCTCAGAGCACCACTCTTTCAGAAGTCCTCCTTGATTTAAGTGGATGTGGCAGAAACATTGTCCATTCGTTTTCATATCAGCTGACAATCGTCAAGGTTCAAAAGTCTCTCCTCCATTAGAAAGAAACTTCTGTTATTTTGTGTTACACATAGTCTCATGGGAAGAGTTTATAGCTTGCAAAAGACCATCTCCTCGGGTAGGCCTTCCATATTTATGAAAAATTGAGAAATATTGCCCATGAAAGTTCAAGCTTAGTTGGCAAACCAAAGAATGATGCTACTTAAAAAAATTTGCTTTGGACTCCAAACAACTAGTTTTTAAGGTTTCCTTGTGCCTGTGAATTTGTTTCAATCCCTTTTGATATTCAGTTGGTGTCAGAGTGATTATGTAACAGATGGCCTTGGGCACTAGTTCTTGTCTAGTGTCTCAGGCTTAAAGTCATCAGCCATTGAGTGTAATTCTGTGTGGCCATGCCCAATCTGTCATAAAAAACATGCAAAGTTATCTCCACCAATGGGGAAACCTCAAAACATATGCCCTATGTTTTTTGCTACAAGCACATATACACTCATACACAAATACTCATATACATGTACAATTTACATTTATAGAAAATTGGATTACAGTGCCTACAGTGAAAAATGATCACAAAAATGACCCAAACAATAAACTATCACATCATAGTTTATTGAAAAATTGGTGGTCCAGGAAAGTCTTGGGTTAACTTATCTCTAAATTTCTTAAGCTATAAAATTAATGCATGCTCATGGTACGAAATGATAAGAAACTATCTAAAGAATGCATAGCCCTTAACTTCCATTCCACTCTTCAGGGAAAACCATTATTACTTCCAAATTCTTCTCTGTGTTATAAAATCATATATAATCATATCTGTGTATGTATGTGGAGTTTTTTATGTTACAAAAATGAGATATTCTGAAACTCAGCAATGTGACTAGCACATCATTCTGTTCAGAATATTGCGATGTAACAATGGTATAATCTTTCAAATGCTTAAATAGGTTTGGTTGCATAAATGCGCCACAATTTATTTAGCCAGTCTCAATTTGTAGATATTTAGGTTGCTTCCAGTTTTCCTGGCATTAACAGACACCTTTAACATTTATGTAAATATTTGCAAGAACTTGTTAGTTAAGATATATATTTAATTTTTAATCATGGTAAGTACTGCCAAATTACCCTTCAAATAAGTTGTATTAATCTGCATTGCCACCATCTGTGTCTGAATACTGATTTTCAATTCCTTTCCCAACAGTATTATTCAACTTTGTACCCTGGGATCACTTTAATCACAGAAATTATATTTCAAGTTTGATTTGATAATTTCCTGTTACTGGGATAGCTTTTCAATTGCCTTTTAGTTCAATTTTATCTTATCAGTATATTGATTGACTCTTTTTCAGTTCGGTTGCTTGATGTAGGATTTTTAAAAGCTTATTTAGTAAGATTTGTTCAAATTTTGTTATTTACCTTCCAAATTTCAAATATTAGTTTATCAGTCTGAGCTTTGTTTTAGACTTCAAGTTGCATTTTCCTATACACAAGCTGTAAATGTTAATGCAGTCAGACACATCATTAATTTTCTGTATAGCTCTAGATCTCTTCTAATATCTAGGAAGTTCTTTCTCACCTTATTTTATATTTTCTTCTGCCTTTATTTTGGATTTTACCAGTATTTCTCCATAAATCTAAGATGTGTTCATGTACAGTGTGCAACATGGAATTGATGTTTTAGGTCACTGGGTGATAGGTTTCTGAATGTTACTTTATTTATCCTTTTACCCCTCCCACCAATTCCAAAGTTTTCACAATTGGTGAATATTATTTTATAATAAGGGAAAAGTTCTTTCAAGTAAAAGGACATTTCATTTTTCAATTTTTTACTGCCCAGTTCTAGAGAAGCCATAGTATGTGACTAGACGAAGGGAAAAGAGTAAGTTTTCTTCTTTAATAGAAACGACAACTGGGGAAACTTCAGCAAACCTCTACATTTAGGAGTAATAAACCTTCACATTTACCTTTACTGCCTGACAGGATTTAACTCAAGGGAATCACAGTTTCTGATCTTTCAGAGGCTACTTAGAATATTAGCCTCTAGTTCTAGGAGGCAGATCTGTGGTCTGTTTGCTTCCCTATTTGGGGCAAAAGAGCAGAACTGAGTGGGAGTGATGGATGCTGTTACAATCAACGATGTTCATTCAGTTAGTGTAGATCTGAAGAGGTCTGTAGAAAATCCTTTCTTTGCAGAATACTGTTGACAAGGAATGGTGTTCACAAGGAATGGTGAAGGTGAGTGCTGCCACTTGCTGGTAGCTGATTAGCCATAGTAACAGTTTTTCTCACAAGAGGGAAGACAGGCTCCGGAAACCAGGAAATACTGACAGTGCATTGTAATGGATGAATGAGCCTTTGTTGCTTAGTTAAAAGTTTGTTACTGTCCAGCATCAGCAAGGTTTGAGGCCTTTAGCCTGGAAAAGGTCTTTCTGTAACTCCATTATGTTCTGTTGTTAAAGTTGTAGTCAGTGAGGCCAGGAAGTTCTCTTGAAGTTCAAAGGACCGTAACATTCACAACATAATATTCATGCAAATGTGGGGTAAATGGGCTTAGGGAGTTTGTCCATTTTGGCAGTTTTAACTTGGGAATTGAACTATTGATCAAAGTGAGGTGGAAGAACTGAGTTGTATTTCTAATGGACTAGCCTGTGCCAAGTCTGGCAAAAGTTCTGGGGACAGAAAATGTTCATGTATTTCATGGAATCCATTCCTGCTTTATAAGGTGAGTTAACTACATCCTCAAGAGATTCAGTTCTTGTTCACTTTTCTCCCTAGGGGAAAAGCTTCTAGTATTCATATTTGGCTGACAGTGGCCCTCTGGGCATCTCATGAAAGCAAATCTGCCAGAAGGTTGAAGGAAAGGACAAAGATACTGAGAAATTTTGAGACATAAGAAGTCTGGCCTTATGGAGACCACCAAAGAGCCTCTGTGTGAATGGTAAAAGGCAGTCAGAAAGGCATGTTTTTTTTTTTTTTTCTCCTCCAAATTCTTACTTGGAAATTTGAGGTAAGCTGGACAGCAAAAAGAAAAAAGTCAAGCAAACAAGTAGATTCATTCATAGCTTAAAAATTTCAGTAGCTGGAGATAAAAAGGAAGTAAAGATACCTTAATGTTGGATAACCTAAAGTATTTCAAAATATATTTTAATTTGCTCTTAGTTTGAATGTGGGAAGTGGGATTTGAGACCCTAGATCCGATCCCCATCTCCAGAGCTGACTTAACATACTTTGGGAAAGTTATTTAAAGTTTACTTATCAGCACAGTGGTGGGGGTGGAGAGTGATAATAGCATAATGATTGTCCAAATGATCACCTGAAGAATAAATGAGATTGAATACATAGTTTTTAGTAAGTAGTAGTTATTAGAACAGCTCTCTTGCAAGCCAGATGGCATTGTCCTCTGCATTTCAAGATGTGGAACTTGAAACAGCCAGAGGCAGAACTAAGCTCCAGGTCTCTAAATTCAGTATTTGCCTCTCCAGTTTGCCTCTGGCGATATTCTGAGGAAGCAGATTCCTTCTTCTGAATAGAAGCTCCTAGTCCCTTACACATGGAAGTCACTGAATGCATAAAAGATGATCCAAGGGAATTAATAATGACCTTTGTAATCAGAATTCCTAAGAAAG